CACACACACACACACACACACACACACACACACACACACACACACATTAAATTTAGATAGTAAAGTTACACAGACTTTTGATGGTGTGATAATCTTGGGCTTATAGTTATTATTTCTCAGTGTGTCTAAATTATTCAGAACTGATTTCTAGGAATAGTAAGTTAGGGTATCAAGTTCTTTGCAGTGTAATATTTGTAATTGTTGGTCTGTTCAGCCCGAGGAAAAGGAGACTGAGAGGGGAACTGATTAATGTTTGTAATTATCTCAAGGAGGGTGGGAAGCAAAAGCATGAGGCCTGGCTCTTCTCGGTGGTGCGTAGCAATAGGACAAGGAGCAGTGGCCTAAAGCCTGAACATGAAAAGTTCCATACAAACATGCAGAAGGACTTCTTTACAGTAAGGGTGATGGAGCACTGGAACAGGCTGCCCAGAGAGGTTTCCTTCTATGGAGATATTCAATACTTGTCTGGATGCCTACCTGTGCTACCTGTTATAGGGAAACCTGCATTGGCAGTGCAGTTGGACTCACTGATCTGTTGAGGAACCTTCCAACTCCTGTGATTCTGAAAAACAGTTACTAAAGTTGGGCAGCTGAAAGGTTAAAGCTTCCATTTTCAATATTGCTGCAAGCGGAAAACACAGTTCTGATTCATAACAATTAAGTGCTTTTAGCATGCATGACTCAGTGTACAATCCAGGCAGTGCTTGATTGTGAAGAGATCATAGAATAATTCAGCATGGAAATGATCTTAGGGAGGTCTGAAGTCCAGTATTCTGCTCAAAATAGGGCCAGCTTTGAGCTCAAGACCGGATTGCTCAGGTCTTTATCCATTTGGGCCTTGAAATCCTTCAAAGATAGGGAATGCATAGACTCTCTTGCCTATTGTTTAAGAATGGCACATTGGATTTCTTTCTAAGTGGCTTCATGCTAATTGCTTTGCACAATACATGAGTTTTGGTACTTTAAAAAAAAAAAACAAACAACCTTTGATTCTGGGTTGTTACATAAAACAGGATTTTTTATTCTCTGTGACTTTACAGGTATACAAGATAATTTTGTAATGAAGGGAATTCCGAGTCAAGGCAGAGGTTTTCTGCTGTAGGTTGCATTTGATCCAGGGATTTGAATTTTAAATTGGAAGTGGGATCATTATATTACTGCAGTAGGATGTTGGGCTGAATTAATATTTATAAGGTCCATTTAGACTTTTAGAGAAAAACATCAATATTTAAGACGTAATTTCTTCTGAACGTTCCTTTGAGAGAAATGTGGGCTTGTTTGTTAAGAACAGACAAACTGCAGTAACTTTCACCAGTTGCACTTGACTTGCCTCTTCTCCCTCAAAAATTCAGGCAAATCAATGATTTTTGTCATTGATGTGGTTTAGTTTATGCACAGATTATCTTGTTTCATCTGAAAACAGGGGATCAAGCTTGGAAAAAAACAGATGGCAGCCTGTTTTACTGACAGATACAGATGTTACCTTTATTATGACTTGCATGGTGAGGTACAGCTTGAATGTTATAAATTTTGTAGAGGGAAGACTTGTGGGTAAGACCTTGTTGGTGTGAATGGTTTATCCACGAAATCTTGGACAAGAGATCATCAGCCTTAGCGTGTTGCTTTCTGAATGTGCTTGTGAACTCTTTGCATGACCAGATCTTCAGTGCAACTGCCTTATTGCTTTGTGATTCCTTGTGATTTGTAATTTGTTTTGTCACATTTATCAATCCTTTCCTCCTTGCCTTGAGAATCCTTCCTTTCAGAGTCCTGATGCGAATCCTTCCTCCTTTCCTAAAAACTCAAATGCATTAAATTAAAGCCATTGGGAATTTCTTTTTTTTTTTTCGAATGTCAAAGGTCTGTGTATTATCATAGACTTCAGGTGAGTGAGGTGAAAGATTCCCACTATATAAAATGAAACTTCTAGGATGAATTAAACTTACATTTGCACCAAATGAGACCTGCTGTACTTCTTGGGACGTTGCATTTATTCCTTTTTTTTTTTTTTTTTTTCCTCCATGTGCTCTGAGGCTGAGGTTAAGACTAAGCCATTTATCACAGGTTCAATCTTCTCTTGTGTTATATATAGCAAGGAAAACTTGTATCTTGTTAAAGCTTTAAACAAAACCCTCTCATTAGATCCATGGATGTTAACAGGTTAAAATGTAATACTTTTTGCTGCATTGTTTTTTTTTTTTTTTTTTTTTTTTATCTATTTTTAAAATTTTTTGTTTATAATAAAAAAAAAAAAAAAAAAAAAAAAAAACAACAAAAAATTATGCATGGGACTATATCTAGCAGCAAATTTCTGCGCTGCCAGAAAACCAGTAATTTAAATCTGAAACAGCATGTCCTACATCATCTCCCTGAGAAGAAGATAACAAAGGAGTGCTTGCTCCATTTCTTTCAAATTGTGATAGTGGCAATATCTTGCTGTATCTTCTGGTTCTGTGCCCATCATCTTTCTCTCAGTTCTTAAGAGGGGATGAGTAATACAACTTTGAAAGTACTGTAGTTTTTTTTCCTTAATGTGCATTTTGCTGTAGTTCTTTTATACAGTAAAGTTAAGCCTGTTTAATGATGTGAAATTAATAAGCCCTTTCATTTTACACTTTTTTTGAGGTGGAGGCTGGTATGTGATTTTGTTGATTTATCAGCCAATACAAAAAAAAAAAAAAAAAAAAAAAAGCTGCCTCTTAACAATGATTTTCCTGTATGCCTGTGGTTGTTCATTAACTCTAATAAAGCAGTGAGGACAGAAGTATATTTAATAATTTTGTTTTTTTTAATAGATCCAGTTCATCTAAATCTGTGTATTTCAACTGAAAAAGTTCTGACTTATCCACAAGTGCAAGACATCAGAATTAACTCCCCAGATCTAGCAAGCTTTCCAAAATGATGAGCCAGTTGTTGCTGTGCTCCTTGCATTTTGTGCCAAACAAGCCAGCATGCAACAAAAAAGGGTCTTCCCTGGTTTATTTTGTTCTTGCACTTCCATGAGGCTCTACTGGTGTCACAGAAAAATACAGTCGTAAACTCATCAACCCTTCAATGAACTTTGAACTTTTTGTTTGTTTTTGTGATGGGGTTTATATAGGTGAGAAACTCTCACAAAGCTGAGAATGGTGATAGCTAATGTTGTCTCTTCTTAAATCTGTCTCAGAATTGCTGTAATTGGTTCTTTTAATCTGCATAGATTTATTTTCATCATTTAAAAAGATGGATGCAAAACTCAGATTTCTTTCCTTTGCAGTAATATTATCTCCAGTGACACTAAATACGTACCTGACTTTTTCTCATTCTTGCCACGAGTAAATGATGACAAATGTATTTTGCCAAAGAAGTTCAGCTTTGCAGAACCAAGTGTTGCTTTTCTCTGTCCTCAGACAAAAATATTGTGAAGTGTTGGAATCAGATGAGCAGCAATAGTAAAGAGATCATCAAGTAAACTGTGTGATATGGAATATCTGATTAATACTCATCGTTTATCGATGCTAAGATCTTACTGCTGTGCATATTGTTAATGTTACGCATTCTCATCAGTAGTGGACTAGCATGCACATCTGTCTGCATGCATTTGTGAATCTTTGTAATATAATCTCGTGGTGAAGGGTTAATAAAATGCTAAATATGTTAAATATGATGAAAAATTTTAAACATCATTCACTGCTGTTTCTCTTTAACTGCAGACCCTGCTACATGGAAAAATCCAAGACACCTTTCTAAAGGTTGCCTTTATCCGTTTGCTTTTTCTCCCTGCACATGAAGTGCATGCCTGTATACACTAACCACGTCCATTTCATGCCACTTTATTGGTGATCACTCTTTTACACATTGGCTACTATGTTGATTATTTTGCTAAGTCTTGTGATTTAGGTTTGATTTGTTTTCTTTTTTTTTTAGCTTTCTGACCTTGTTGCTTTAGAATGAGATGACCTTTTGCTTTTCTATGTGGTTGCTGCCTCATAGAACTTTCTGCACTTTTAATTCCCAAATCCTTTAAAATATCTCTGATTCAAGTACCTTGAAATTTGCTTTGAGTGAAAAAATGTTTTGAATGCTGACTTAATGTTAGGTAAGCAGTGTGTTTGTTAAGCTGTGAAATTTCTTGTAGGCTATTTTTCTAGAGCAGATTGCTCATTGAGTAGCAGAGGGGAAAGGATCACAAACTGAAAAATTCTATGTGGAACTCTTGGTATTTGGAAACCCAGTTGTGGAACTGGGAACATCTGCAGCACGACTCTGCCTGCTGCCTACACCACAGAGCAGGAGTTGACCAACCCATCTTTGCTGTTTCTGGGACTGCTCTTGAAGAGCCCCCAAGTAATTTCAGGCATCTGTGGTGACAGATTAAGATGTTTGGTCCATGACAGATTTGGGAAGAGACATGCTTTCCTAAGACTTCATTGTTATGTAAAATACTTATATATTTTGTTTGTTTGTTTTGGTTCTACAGGTTTTTCTAACTTTTTCTTTCAGCTGCAATTTGATCTCATTTGCATGGTAAAAGAAAAGTTGCTATAAGCTGATGAATAGTTTTTTCAGGATTTTTTTTTTTTAAACTGTTGCTAATAATTATTTTATTTTCTGTTGCAAGCTGATTTTTTAATGAACTCAGACCTTTTCCAAAGAATGGTAGGACAGCTGATTGGCTCAGTTCACAATCATGAAGGCAGACATGTAAGAGAGACAAATTAAAGATGCTGTGCTTAAATAAGCAGAATCATAAATGTATTTGTACTGAGCCATTTAATGCCTAATAGCAGAAAGTGAACTAATTCTTGCTGCTTGAAAAAAAAATATCACATTCTAGTCTTCAACAAACAAACTCAGAAAAATGTGATTGGAAAATCTGCTTCCTCTTCCTCATGTACCAATTCTTTGTTTCAGAGATAGATGCTGAAGAGTGGGGTAAATTTCTTCACACCAAAAATAAGGTACGTTTGCTCTGGTTACAGAGCAGCCTTTCCCAAGCAAGAGAACCATTCTGCTATATTGCATGCCAGAGTATTCAGGTTTTTCTGTTTCTAAGAGTAGAAGATTAACCAAAGCCTTTGTTACTTGCCAGTAACTCTGTATGTGGATCATTGATTCCGCTGAGTTATTTATCTTGACCCTAAAAATGTTGTTTTGCTGCTTTTTTTTTTTTCTTTTGTGCATGAATTAAATTGCAAAGACAATTGTACACACAAGTATACAATTGTGGTATACACAATTGTATATCACAAGTCGTTTCAGTCCACTGAAGAATTGACTACTTTAGAGGTATATTACAAGGGTGTGAAAAGGAAGAGTCGAATACTTAGCAAGGAGAGAGAAACAGGGATGGCTGAGGATTTCAGGTTAAGAATTAGGCTTTGATTGTCTTTGCCAGCTGCAAAACTCCTTGTTGGCAGATGTTTTACTAGTTTAAACTGATTTCCTCACTTTGTAGGTAGTACTGAAAGTTGAAGAGATCTTAAAGAGGAACACAGAGGAAACATGTGGATGGGGTAGCTTGGTGGTGGCTTCTTTTCATTGATGGAAAGAGGACACAGTAAACAAGAATGTAAAGAGGAAATGATAGGCTCTGTTCTTTGTCTCTTCCCAGGATGTGAAGGAGTATAAGCTTGATGTTGTTCATCAACTTCAAAAGCTTGTAACTAGACTAGTGGTAGAATTAAATGTGAAATTCTCTGTAGGTGAATGCAGTTTGTTTTCTGCCTTGTCTGATATTGTTGTAAGTGCTAGTAACTGCCATCAGATTCTGATTCCTTTAATTCTGAGCACTGATGGTTGTTGTCACAGCAGTAGCTTTTGCAGTAGCTATTAGTCACTCTTCCTTTCTTCCCCCTCACCTTCTGTATACATAGTTAGATAATTTTTCACTGTCTCTTGGAGAAACAGGCACTATTTCACTATTAGATGTTTTTGAATAAATGGCTATCTACATAATCTTTCTTTTTTGTACTTCAGATCTATACAGATTTTGATGAAATTCGTCAGGAAATAGAAAATGAAACAGAAAGAATTTCAGGAAATAACAAGGTAAATACTGAACTGTCTATCTTTGTCTTGGTGTAGATTCTCTTGCTACTGAAAGCCTTCATAACCTGTTCTGACATCTAAAAGTGAAAAGCACTGAACTGTTCTAAAGAAGAGATAGCAAGCAACATTACTGTGTCTAATGATTTTTTACTGTGTTCATGAGTCAAGTCACTAAAGCTAAAAGAGAACACAGAGAATTGTTGTTGCTTTACTTCAAAACTTCCACAATAATCCTGCAAAAAATATTAAACTTGCTTCCACTGTTTCCATGTGCATTCCTTCATGTGTGATTATAAAATTAAGTATTGTGTTACTGAATATCTGTGTAATTACTTGGGTTAGGGCAATCCCAGGTATTTATACAAACTGGGAGAAGAACTCCTTGAGAGCAGCCCTGCGGAGAAGGACTGAGTGGATACAACTGTTTGTGAGGGTGGATAGTGATAGGACAAGGGGGAATGGTCTTAAAGTGAGACAGGGGAGGTTTAGGTTAGATATTAGGAGGAAGTTTTTCACACAGAGGGTGGTGACACACTGGAACAGGTTGCCCAAGGAGGCTGTGGATGCCCCATCCCTGGAGGCATTCAAGGCCAGGCTGGATGTGGCTCTGGGCAGCCTGGTCTGGTGGTTGGTGACCCGGCATACAACAGGGGGGTTGAAACTGGATGATTGTTGTGGTCCTTTTCAACCCAGGCCTTTCTGTGATTCTGTGATTATTGTATGAAATAAAGCCTTTTATGCATTATATTGAGGGGATAACAAGGCAACTGCTAAATACAAAGAAATTGGTTGGCAGATGTGGCTTTCTTTTTTCTTCCACCAAACAGATAAGATGCATGATGGAAGAAATGTGTTCTTTTGTTTATATATGTATTATTACAGAACTTCAGATCTGACTTTCCAAAGTGTCATTTAAGTAATTTGGTACAGTGATTAACTTTATTGTGCTGTGAATACATTTCTAGGGTATCAGTCCTGAACCAATTCATCTTAAGATTTTTTCGTCTAATGTTGTGAATCTGACTCTTGTGGATTTACCAGGAATGACAAAGGTAAGATATGAAATGCTCTCCTTCTGAAAGCACTGTGTTTTGAAACAAGGAGCTTTCGTTTGATCTTAACCTTTGTTTTGTATTGTTAGATTAGTGTTTCAGTTCTTAAAAGTTGTTTACGTCTTCCTTCAGATAAAGTAGTTGGCTATATACGTTTGAGATATCACCATCTTCTGGTGTAGGATTTAGGTTTCTGGTGCTATTCACTGTTATAGTGACCTTTTTTCATTCTTTTCTTTTTTTTTTCTTTCTTTTTTTCCTTTCTTTCCCTCTCTCTTTTCTTTTCCTCTTTCTCTCTTTCTCTCACTTTCTTCTTTCTTTTCTCCCCAGAGGGAAAGGGAAGAGCTGAAAACTTTAGTTAGTGATCTAACATGGGAATAAATGTACAGTTTTGAGTAGTTCTGCACTATATTTTTTTCCCCCTAGGTGCCTGTTGGTGATCAGCCCAAAGATATTGAACTTCAAATAAGAGAACTAATCCTTCAATTCATCAGCAACCCAAATTCAATTATTCTGGCAGTCACAGCAGCAAACACAGACATGGCCACTTCAGAAGCACTTAAAATTGCACGGGAAGTGGATCCAGATGGTAAGCAGCAAGAAAAAGTTGATCTTGTAATTCAGCTTCAGCTTTATTTTAGGATTTAATTAAAAAACAAGCAAACAAACAAAAAAACAAAACAGAAGTTGTTTGAGCAAAAAGAAGTAAGGAAAATGTTACTTAATTTCCTGGAAAATACAATTATTATATTTGCTTGAAGATTTCCGGTTTCAGCCTCTGCAACTCAGAAAAAATTGTGATCAGTTAATATCTTAAGAGCTTTTTGACTCACAAACAGATCAGAAAACTAGTTTAATAGTCCTACAAGCCACATCTGTTTTCAGAGCAACAAAATGGCATTACAGAATATTAGTGGTTTTGAGATTTTTAGTAGTGTAATCTGTTAGGATGACTTCATGCTTTATTGTCAAATATTTTTGCTTTTGTAAGAGAAAATACGTCATCCTGCAGTAGTAATTATCTGTTTAGATGTTACTTTAATGACTTTTGGTGAGAATGCAATTAATATGTCTTCTTAGTATCCATTTTAGTGTTCCACATTTGTATGACAGAACTGACTGCTTTGTTTTAATCTAAAAAGGATAACTTTTATATTTGCCTAATGACTTTGAATCAAAGCTGAAGCTGCTATTTACTAATAAATGGTACTGTGTAATTTGAAAGACTATGAAAGTGTATACTCTGAACATAGGTATATTGAAATTAGGGAAAAATTTTGTGTTGGTATGCTTTCCCATCAAATTCTTCTCATAGAAGTAGTATTTCTTACTGGCTTTCAAACTACAGGTCAGCTCTGTGTCCACAGCTTCGAGGGAGAATCTCTTCCCTTGGTTTTCTCTTTAGTCAGATTGTCCTGGTTCCAGCCAGCGGAGCTTTTCTTTTTCGTTTGTTCCTGTAAAAGTGATCAGCTGTGTTTTTTGGATCACTTCCCAAAATTCTAAACTTTAAAGATCTGAAGTTTCAGGTCATGTTGCAAGCTTTGTAGTAGTATGCAAAGAGAATTTGAGTGACTGTTTCTCCCACAGTATCTAATACAAAGTTGTTTTCACTCAGAAAACATTAAGTTACATATTTGACAAAAATCTGTTTCATTAATCTCATGCTGCTTCTTCAGACTCTTGGTACTTTTGAGAATGTGTTTGATGCACAGTGATTGAAGTGGTCCTGTTACCTCCTCTGGCAGCTTCTCCAGCAGTAGAAGTGCTTCAAAAATAGTTTCATTATGTGAATTGCCATGATGTGGTGTTACATATATCCTAGAAACGTGTTCAGTTTGCTCACACTTACAGGTCCCCTGCCTATTTGCCTTAAGTCTTCTCCATAAATGCTTTACAGCAACCTCACGTACTATTCAAAAATGTAACAAAAATTGTTACATTTAGCAATTATACAATTTCAAACTGCATGTTTCCTAAATCTTTAACCACTTATGCATGGGGAGCAATATGTGCTAAATGGTTATTTTTCTACGCTTTTGTTAATAAAAGGCTACAGGTAGACGAGCACCACACATTCTTGTGCTGGTCTCTGCTGGTTTGATCTATTACATTTTATGCAATTGTATGAGAAACTTTGTGAATGCTGAGCTTTGATGAAGACAAAACATCCCTGTGAGTGAGTTGTCCTTTTGATAGGTCGAAGAACCCTTGCTGTTATCACAAAGCTGGATCTCATGGATGCGGGCACTGATGCTATGGATGTGCTCATGGGCAGAGTGATTCCGGTAAAACTTGGCATCATTGGAGTAGTGAACAGGTCTGTCTGGGCACATTTACACTATTTTTTGACTTGTTTAGCCATGGGTATGAATTTTAAGAGTAAGGTGACTTGACATTGAAATAAGCAACCAACAAACCTGTTGCTTACTTTTCAAAAATCTGTTGTTCTTCCCATCAACCAACTGCTAATTTAGAAGAAATGTCTTTATTCCTTTCTAGAAGAACTGTAGCGTTATTTCTTCCCACTATTGATTGTTTTTTTTTTTAGCTTGAGGGATGTTTCTGATCAGCTATTCACATTATTGCTAATTCAGCACTAATAGATACTATATATTAGGGCTAAGCAACTGCTAACAGCACAGTACTGTCTTTAGTACGTGTTCACTCTGATCTTTTGCATCAGCTAGATCTAATCTCATGTACTATAAAGTTTTTTGCTTAGTCTGTGTATGACTGCTACCTGTACTGATTTACCTGTGCTCCATGGGATAGTAGATGAACCCCTTCTTTATTGACCAAGAAATAGGAACAGTTGTCTTTTTTCTTGCATAAAGCAAAACTCTGCTGGTTAATTGTCCTGTCAGGCAGCAAAGAAGTGTGAATTGTTTTCTGAATGTTAACTAGCATGAAATTATGTCTTTTAACTTCAGGAGTCAGCTGGATATTAACAATAAGAAGAGTGTAGCCGATTCTATTCGTGATGAATATGGTTTTCTTCAAAAGAAGTATCCCTCCCTAGCCAATCGAAATGGAACTAAGTATCTTGCTAGAACACTGAACAGGTATTATATAAAAAAAAACCAAACAACCAAACAATTGTGTGTGCTTTTCAAGATATGTTGAAATGTAGATTGATATATGATATATGTAATCATTTATATTTACCTTTCCTTTTTACTTTGGTGTTGTACAGTGAAACAATAAGGAAAGCTCTGTTTGGTTCCAAATTCAATTTCTGGATTTACCGTAATTTCCCTGAGTGAATGTTTTCCTTTGTTGGTTATTTTCTGTCTCATCTCTCTTTTGATGGAGATAACACTGAAATTCCTTCCCTCTCACAAAGGTCTGTTTTTTATTTTTAGACTACTCATGCATCATATCAGGGACTGCTTGCCAGAACTGAAAACCAGAATCAATGTTTTAGCTGCTCAGTACCAGTCTCTGCTTAACAGCTATGGGGAACCTGTTGAGGACAAAAGTGCCACTTTATTGCAACTTATTACCAAATTTGCTACAGAATATTGCAATACTATTGAAGGAACAGCAAAATACATAGAGACTTCTGAGCTGTGAGTAATAAATGGTTTTCTGGAACTTTGACTATGTGTTTAGATTGAGCCTGTAACTCCTGCTGACTTACACTGGCAGTAATAGTACGCTAGAGTATAATATAGTAAAAAAATATATATATATATTCTTTGAATGTAAGTAGTCGTAAAAAAGTTCATAATGAGAGCTTTTTTTCTTCTTTATTAATTTCAGTTACTTTGCTGTTTCAGATGTGGTGGAGCCAGAATCTGTTACATCTTTCATGAGACCTTTGGACGAACCTTAGAATCTGTTGACCCTCTAGGTGGCCTTAACACAATTGATATCCTGACTGCCATTAGAAATGCTACTGTGAGTGTTACTCTGTAGTTCTGAGTGCTGTTTCTGTATATATTGGATTCAAAATGAGATCTCAACTAATTCATGCTGCTTCAGGCCTTAACAACAACTGAATGAGTTTGCGTGAATACGCTGAATCCTCCTTTTTGTTATTTCAAGAGAAAAATACAACATTCAGATTTGCAGCCTTTATCAGATATGGAATAAGTTTAAGGGAAGTGCTTGCTTGTTTCTGTTGTGAATAGGCTGAAATTAAGCTTAGGCCCAACTTTGGCAACCCTGTACTGTTATTTGTATGAGAAAGTGTGATGAAGGACTGCTTATGCACTTGTTTTGCATGAAACACTTCTGTGTTAGCTATGAAGACTCAGTGTGTGATCTGCAGGCTAGGACACGTTCAGATATTTTCATTTTCTATAAAGGCTGTGACTCTTTAGTAGTTTAGTATTTACATGGTTGGTTTTGTTGTCAATGTAGGAATCGATGTTGCTAAGAATTCACTGTAAGTTTACTTTTAAATGTTGCAGTACAAAGAATGTTCACTCCTTAGAACTTGACTGAACAAACAAGTCAGCTTTTATATTGCGTTTTGATTGGTGCAGTCAGACGGATGTGTTTTGTGGTCAGTAATTATTTAGACTTGGAATACATCAGATACTTGCAGCAATGAAATGTGTGCATGCTGCTGTCCTTCTGTAAATCTAACACAGGATTTAGTGGCTGATAAATTGTATTGATCTGCAAGGTCAGCGTTAGGGATAATTTAATTTATGACACAGTGACACTGCACCCAAGTATATTTAAAAGCAAACCCAGCTGTCATCCAGTGAGAATTGCATGGCCCCTAAACTGTGATATCTCTCCTGTCTGCTGAAAATTAGGAAGAGAATGTTTTAGTCTTTGTTATAAATTTTATTTGAACTTGGATCCATAAACCTGAAAATAATTATAAGATCAGGTATAAATGCTCAAGATTTGACAAGGGTGCTGGTTAATCATTATTTAACACTAAATCAGTCTTACAGGCATTTTCTATATGTCTTTAGTCTGTAAACCTTTTTTTGTTTCAGTATTCTTATAATAGGTATTACTCTTACATTGGCAAGGCCTGTTCTGAGTGTTCTTCTGGGTGTGAACACCGTGACCTGATTTGTTATGGGCTTCACCAGAAACTCCTGAATATAAATACCTCGTTTTAACATACAATTTCACAACTTTTACCATCCTTTTAAACTAGGGTCCCCGTCCTGCCTTGTTTGTTCCTGAAGTTTCATTTGAATTGCTGGTTAAAAGGCAAATCAAACGTTTAGAAGAGCCCAGCCTTCGCTGTGTGGAGCTGGTTCATGAAGAAATGCAAAGAATTATACAACATTGTAGTAATTACAGTACACAGGTAAAAATAACGTGTTTGAGCTATGTTCTAAATTATTGGGCATTTCCCACCCTTTCTTTCCCTCCTCTCCCCATTCCCCAACCCCCCAAAAACCCCAATGTCTTATCAGTAAATGTTTGTTTTTAGGAGTTGCTGAGGTTTCCCAAGTTACACGATGCCATAGTTGAAGTTGTAACCTGTCTTCTGCGTAGAAGGCTTCCTGTCACAAATGAAATGGTAATTTTTCATGTTTTATAATGTTGCTGGAAAAAGTGTTTTCTGGACTTTCCCTTGATGCTTCTATCTGCTTTGTAATGTCTGGAACCCAAATTTTTAAAAGAATCACAACTCATAATGGTGAACTATTTAATAGCTACATTGTTTGAAGCTTGTAGTACAGAAGAAGATAGATAAAAAACAAAAGGATCATGGTAGGGTTATGTTTCATTTTTTTCAAGAAGGTCAAGGTAAAGTGTTTTCACTTTTAATGGCTTTTGGCAAATGAGAGCTGATAATTCATTTTCTGATATGCTGCTTGTTGGAGATCAAGCATACACACATGTACAAAGTATCTTTATGTGAAAAGCAAACTAAACTTTTATGTGCAAATAGTGCAGTGTTTCTCACTGTGGCTTGTGACTATGTTGTTTACACTCCTTAAATTGCTGAGTTTATTTCTTGCTGGAGGGTGGTTAGCTTAATAAAGCTAACAAGTTAAACTGATACATATTTCAAGAAAAGCTGAATATCTGAGTGTGTTGCAGTGATAGAATGAATTCCTTTCTTGCTTTCTTCAAGGTCAGAACTTCATGTCTTTGGGGCAGTAAGAACAATCTTTGGCTAAGGACAGTTACAATGTGTTGTACTCTAGGCAATTAGAATATCAGTGTAAGTCATTTTTCTTTGCTACCATTAGACTCACTGAATTTCTGTGAATATCCTTTCGTTGCAGGTTCACAATTTAGTGGCTATTGAGTTAGCCTATATCAATACCAAACATCCAGATTTTGCTGATGCCTGTGGGTTAATGAATAACAACATAGAGGTAAGAAAATACATCTTCATCAAAAATAAGTTCAATATGCTTAGTGAAAAGCGGATAAGTTGAAGGATTTTCTATGATCACCAGTTATATCTTGCTCCAATCTGTCTTTTGACTTTTCAAATGAGAATCTAAATAACTAGTGACAGAACAGACTTGTCAATTTTTCTGTGAAGCATAGTTGAATGTTTTGAAGTATGGAGGTTTGATTATATTCCAATGGAGTGTACACTTTGTGATCAGCTGATGTATTAGATTTATACTGCATGTTATGTTCAGAACCAGTGGTTGATATTTTACTGAAAACAGTTCTGCTTCTGTGTCTTTCTAAAAAATAAGATAGGCATCAGAGAAGTGGTTATTAAATGAAATGTTTGGAAGAGAGACTAAAGAAAAATAGTTTTACTCTTACAATTTCTGTAGCCTTTCTGTTTTGCACACTCAATTTTGATAGGTAATCTCTGTTGCTATCATAATCCTATAGAAGCAGTTGCTGTACAAGTGTGGTAGATGGAATTCTTTCTCAAAGTCCTATTTTCATTGCAGTATTTCATCCATCCGCATGAGAGCTTGCTAATATTCTTGTGTTCACTTGTTAATCCAACACATCTTTTCACAGTTATGTTCTTTTTTTAAATGCTTATATTGTCATTTCTGATGGGTGGTTCTAACCTCTTGCTTTCTATTATATATTTTGTATTGACTGGTTATGCAATTGATTGAAGAGCAGTCTACCAAGGTAAATTCTAGTTCAGGTACAGTGTCTGCACAAACTGCTGTGAGTATGAGAATTAGGACTCTGTCAAGTTGAACATATGAAATTATTGTTTTATTGTCTGTTAGCTAAATAAGTTCTTTTTCCAACATCTTCCTGAACAGGACGTTGAACGTTTTGAAGAAACAGAGCATGTAAAACATCTTATCTTTATTCAGTGGAGAATCAATTACTAATTTCAAGAAAAATCAGATTTTAGTTTGATCTGATCGCTTCAAATTCTGTTTTGTTGTGAAGTCAATGTTTCCTTTTTGGCTAATCAGAGCAAACTATGCTGGATGTGAAATTAAATCCTTCCAGCTAATTTTGAAGATTTAATGCTTACTGAAGGTCGTAGGGAATCTATGCTGAGCCAAACTGCTTAGCTTTGATCCTGTTTTTTAAAGGCTCTGGTCTTGATTATGAAGAGTGTTGCAAAAAGTTTTGCAGAAGCTTTTTATGTTGAAAATTTACTTTTGATCTGATAATTGGAGTGGTTTTATCCAAACTGAGGCTTTTATAGGATCGTAGTTACAAAGCACTAGCTGAAATTTAAGTATCAGTGTTTGTTTGTCTTTAAAATTTGGAGTCATCTGTAACATATGAATGTTGGATGTGTATTGAGACAGAGCGATGCATAATTGAAGTCTTGCTGGATTATTTTTAAAGGAACAGCGGCGTAACAGGTTAGCACGGGAATTGCCTTCTTCTGTGCCACGAGACAAGGTGAGTAAATGTTGATTTTTTTATTTTCAGTGTAATGCATCCTCCTTTGATCTAATCTAAATGCTGGAAGCTTTGATGTGCAGCCCTAGTAACACGCTGGGAAGCTTCCAAGTATTGACTTTTTTTCTTTTGATTTCCTGAGATTGAAATAGAATGCTTTTTCTTCTTCCAAAGATGCAGATTTTTGGGTTTTAAATCAAGGGTTTCTGAGGACTTACCTATAAATCTATATTAATATTACACACATTACTTGAATGTCATTTCAGATGAGGCTTAAAATGTTTGCAGATAGTAAAGATGAAGTCAGAACATGAATGCTTGTATTTAAGGCTGTGACATTGATACCAAAAGATAAACAACTGATTTAAAATATTTATTGTGCCAGCATAGTGACTTGTTTTTCAAAGTCACTCTTAAGACTGCAATTTTAGTGCAGCCTTATTTTCTTTGGGAGCAGATAGAGGAGATAAAGTTGTTAGTTGATTTTCATAATCCAGTTGTGTACAATCTTTGGAGCTTGGATACCAAGCATCATGAAAATGTTGCCTTGTGGAAATAGGTCTGACAATCAGATAGGATTTCAGACAGTCGTGCATTTAGTATTATGTGAAGTATTTTACATTTGAATGCACAGAATATGGTTTAAGCTTATTATAATAAGTGTTACTGCAGCAGATAGAAATTGATTCTTTAAGTTCCTTAGCTTAATAAGTATGATGAAGTCTCAGAGCAGACTTCAATATTACTGCCTCTAGTCTGTAGAAGGCAGCTGTGATGGATTAACCAAGAAGGTTAAGGCAGCTGTCTAGAAATTGCTTTCAGTACTGTTTGTTCTTCTTTTAGTTGACTTCATATTTAAATTATCAGTGTAAGAGCTGAAATGAAATTGAAGAACAAGATGATAACGCAGAAGTCCCTTACCTGTCTTGAACATGCTTTTTTCTCCATTTACATTACTGTTTTCTTTTCTGGATTATTAAAAAAAAAACCCAACACATAAATATATGCATGAATGTGCTAGGTAGATTTGGTGGTCTTCAGTTGAATTTTTTTTTTTTCCCTGCATTTTTTTTTACCTTCTTTAGTCTACTAAAGCTCCAGGTGCATTGCCACCTGCTTCCCAGGAGACTGTTACTGCTGCTTCTGCTGAGGCTGATGGCAAGGTCTGTCTTGATTTTTCCTATAAGCACTGCATGCCAATTGATGTTGTGGTGCACTTCAGGTACTCCAGGAAGCAGTCTGTGTTTAGTTCTCTGTCCCTAATAACAAGCTGGGTGTAGACTACATTACATTTCACGACTTTAGTATGCACAACGGTGGGTAAAGATGTGCAACTGGTTGGCAAAGCCACTGCTTTCTGTTTAAACTCTTGGTTGTAATATGTTGTTGTCAATTGCTTGTTTGGTGCAATGGTACTGTAATCCAAGTTTTTCAGCATGGTTGTTAAACTGCATGTTTTTGATGTGTTGACAGTTAAAGAAGAACAGAAGATAAACTAAAAATGTGAGTTTCCTGCTTTCTGCAGGGAATCCTTACAGGATTTGTTAAAACTTGAGCCCCCTTGTTGTCTGACTTTAACTGTTCACTTCTATGTGTGAAATGTATTCTGCAGTGGCTTTTTGCACTTCAGACCCGTTGCCATGTAAAATAACAGCTAAGTGCTGTAAAGACTTCCTTGCTAATTGCTTTCATTGGAGTCACAGAAGATGGAGTGTCACAAATTTGTGTAGTAGGAGTAACTAAGGAGACTCAGGCTTTCTGCTTTACTGTGTATTTATGTTCTGCTTCTAGTGCATAGCTGTCATTTCTGTCCTCAGCAAAGTGGTTAAGTCAAAATCTAGTCATTAGTAGAACTTTAACTATGATTTTGGTCAAAGTTTTATTGGTTCTAATATGCTGCAAACAACTAAAAATAAATTGGGATCTGTAATGAAGTTAGTGTTGTGACTGCAGAAGTTGCAGGAAACTGCCAAATTTGGTTTGTGTTTCCCACAAAGCTTCTTCTTTATTAAGTGGTGTATATTCTGGTGCTCTGTTTCTTATGAAAGAATGTAGCTTTCTGAAACTGCTTTGGAGATAAATCATGCTCCACAGTAATACTGGATGGGAGAGGTGTAGGGATTTTTGCCACTTTAAATAGCTGTTTTAAAATCAGAAAAAAAGTAATGGAGCTTTCCTTATCAATGGCCATCTGTTATTAATGGAGGTTCATTTGAATTCTTATAATCTATTTTGTATTTCTCTGAAGAGCAGTGCAATTTTATTAAGACTACTTATGTGCACGTTTCAGTTGGGTTTCTTCCTCATGTGTACTTCCTTTGCCATTCCCTCACTCTTCAGACCCAAGATCAGCCTATAGGGGTGGTTTAGTTATAAACACAATAGATGGTTCTACCTCAACTCCTCCTATTTCTGAAGGAAAATGTAAGTAGTAGGTTCAGAGCCTTTAATGACCAGCACTGAGATTACCTTATTGTTTTTTTTTTACTGTATGTAGTAAATAGAAAAGCTGCTAGGCTTATGGGAAGGTGCAAAACAAAAATTAACACTGTTCCACATGAAAATAATTTCTTTTTTCTTTTAATACTGATCTAATGTGTACAATCTACTAATATTTTTCTCCCATGTTTTCTAATCTGTAAGAACTGAGTATTACATCCTCTTCTCAGAAGAAAAAAGTCATTCTTTCCCTGGAATGGAAACTTTACTTCCCAGACAGTGCTATCTCTGCTTCCAGAAGATGGAGATTTTTCTTTTATTCGTTTGGTACCAAAAAGCTTTCTGTAACATGAGATCTGGCCACACAAATACATTCATAGCTTTGGTACCTGGAAACATAAGCATGCATATATTTCATTTATTTCATGAGCTGTTACTGTAAAGAACTTTGGTTTCTATACAGAGACTTCAGATACACTGAGATCTTTCAAGACCTTTTGGTGAATCTTGAATCTTAATATGTGTTTTCTGAATGATCCTGATAGTGTAGGCTACATTACTCTAAGGACACGTGGTAAAAGCCAATAGATTTAGGAAGACTGTGTTTCAGCAGTGATCTGTAAATGGTGAAGCTTATTTGTGCAAGAGATTTCATACCATTTTTAGTAAGAATGTGAGTTTAAAAAGTCTTTCATTTTAGGGATATTTTACTCTCATTAATGGATTGAAAGTATCCTTCTAATTGGTCTCCCACAGGGAAAACAAAAGTGGGGGCTGAGAAGAGCAGAATATGGAAATAAAAATACACACATGAAAATCTTTTATTGAGTCTTTCTTACCAATAGCTTACTAATAACAAATTTGATCTTGTTTGTAGTGTTCAAGTTTTAACTCTGGCGTTTTTCTCTGATGTGTTGTTTGTGCAGGCTGCTGCTGGAGCAGGAGATGTATCTCAGGAGTCTGGAACGGGCAACTGGAGAGGAATGCTGAAAACCTCAAAAGCAGAGGAGGGATCAGCAGAGGAAAAACCAAAACCTGCTGCAGCTCTTCCTGCTAGTCCTCAAAAAGGACATGCTGTAAACCTATTAGATGTGGTGAGTGTGATGGAAAGATGCATACTTCCTCTTTGCAGTTAAGGCTCGGGAAGTAAAATATATGAATTATTTATGTTGTGACTTTGCTACTAATATATATCTTCATGAATAATGGCCACTGTAGAAAAAGGGAGCTCTGGCCTCTCTCTTCTCCCTTTGTTAACCTTTCTAGTTTCAGCCTACAATTTGGAATAATTGGCTTTCTTTCACAGAAATTTCAATTTCTATGAAGGAAAATCCTTATCTAGATCACTTCTAAAACAGAAGCAAATCTCAGCTCATCTCAATTCAACTGCCTGTTCATTTTTGCTGAAGTTGACATTTTTCATACCAGAGGAAAATTTAATGATTTAAATTTGAAAAAACTAAAACAAAAAAAAACAACAACAGATGAAGATTCTTAAAGTCTTGGCAGAACTGACTTCCTTTCGTGAGCTTTAAAAACTAAATTGGTTGGTGCCATCTGACCTTTCAGTTTCAGAGATCTGGATTTTGACGTCTCTAGGTCAATAGCAGAGTAGTGTTGCAAGACAGATGACGTGTATCAAATTATCAGACTAAAAGAGCAATAGTTTGTTTTGGTCTCCCCCAGTGTAAGTTTTATTTATCTATACAAATAAGCAGAATTTAACTTGAGGTTTCTTTTTTTTTTTTTTTTTTTTTTTTTTTTTTTTTCACATAGCCTGTACCTGTTGCACGCAAACTTTCTGCCCGTGAGCAGCGAGATTGTGAAGTGATTGAACGACTCATTAAATCTTATTTCCTTATTGTCAGAAAGAATATTCAGGACAGGTAAAACATAACCTAGATGTATTTAAACCATACAAATGTTGTGGTATCTCAAGCATCATATAATAATCTTGCTTTTTTATAAAACTCACTCCTCACAGCATTAAGAAGGCTGAAGTAGTACTTGTTATTTTTCTAATAGTTTTAATTCTCTGTTACATTGATGTATGAGGTTCAGTTAGTTCAATTTAGGAGGTGGCAGTTTTTCTAAAGGATGATGAAGAATTCAGGTGGATGATTTTCAGCAAATAACTGGAATGAACTCTGGGTGTTATGTAGCAGTGGCAGAACTTAGCTTTGCTGTCCTTTTTGTTTCAAATAGGGACTGCTGTGGCTAACCCTTTACATTCTTTGCAGTAAATATGCAGCAAAAATGCTATGCCAAGTATTGCAAATTTGATGCATTAAAACATCCTGACCTACCTCAGAAATATTTTTAAGAAATGTTTTAAAGACTGTACTCATGTCCATCCCACATTGCACTTACAAAGCTATTCATTATCTTATTTGGAAGATTCAGAGCTGTGCTGGGATAGATACCAGAGTTTTGCTTTCACTCTTAGCCAGGCGACTCCCAAAATATTTTAGATTTCTTAAGTTCTTCTTTTAGTAGAATTTCAAATGCATCGGCTTGAAAAGAGGATGCAAAATTAATTATTTTACTATTAATAGACCTATGTAGTCTCATCATGATTTCCCAGAAGTCACTCCACAGCTGAGCAGTAAAGAGCCTAAAAGCAGTAGAGCATAGCAGGGAAAATTCCCAACCGAATGTGGGAGTATGATTCCAATGATGTATGATTGGATTTAGCAGTGTGGGCACTTGAGATCACGTGGAATTACTGCTCAGTGAGTCATTACTGACTGTATATGTCAGATCCCAGACTATTCTAGTTGTAAAATATTACTTACAGTGTTGCATCAACAAAATGGTTGTTTAAACTGATATTTTTTTATTTATCAATTGGGAAGAACAATCGATGTTTTCATTGTCAGCTGCTGCTATTCTGATGAAATAACCCAAGGGGCAGTAATTTGACTTTTGACCCTCCATTTATATCCTTAGATTCTTGTACTGTTCTAGTGTAGTGATTTTACTTCCACCTTTTCAGAAAAGTACTCCTTACACATACCTTAAGACCTCAGGAAGATCAGGTGCCAGAAGTTTCAGTACTTGTATTTATTTTTTTCCCAGGAATTTTAGCAGCATGGAAATCCAGAGCTAAAACCATGGTTTCACTGGGGATATTGTAGCCCAACATAGAACTGAAAAATGTTGCTTTAGATTCTGTACCCTTTTCCTGAAGGATTGTTCTTGAATTGCATTGATTGCTTGCTTCCATTCTAAATAACACATTTTGCACACTTTGAATCCATTTGCTGTTGTAAATTGCCCTTATGCTGTGTTGTCTGGTATTTGAACAGGGATCCTGCAGTCAGTATTGGATTAAGATCAGATATATCAATCCTTTCCTTGACTCTTTCCTTTTGCGTTTGCACGTAAGGTTGATTCTAGGGTGACATAGCCTTTTTGTCATGCCTAGCATAGTGGAGATTTGGTTTCTGGTCCTTTGTGGGGGAAAAAAAGTAACTTATTTTTCATGTACTTTCTACACTATATATTTATATACAATACAGCCATCTCATGTGGAAGACATGAGATGTTTAAATTGCACAGGATACTTTACTGGAGATAGAAAGCTTTTATATATGTTAGTGGTAGATTCATGGTAGTTTGAGCCAAGGTTCTGTCGCTGCTTGCTTATGTTGTGAATTCTTTGATGTAGGCCTGGTTTTATTATGTCCTGAAGAAACAATCTTTATGTGCTTGCAGTGTGCCAAAGGCAGTGATGCATTTTCTGGTGAACCACGTGAAAGACACTCTTCAGAGTGAGCTGGTGGGCCAGCTGTACAAATCCTTGCTGTTGGATGACCTTCTGACGGAATCCGAAGACATGGCGCAGCGCAGAAAAGAGGCAGCTGACATGCTGAAGGTATTTTAAAAAGAAAAAAAGACAGAAAAAGGTCAGGGCCTTATGGGAATAGTTGATGAAGCTGAAGCCATGTAAATGTAATGTAATGGTAGCTTTTGTTCCTGATCACTTGCTCTTATTTAACTTTCTCTATTGTGATCAGTAGTTCTTTTCTGGGAAATTGATTACAGTCTTTTAACTATTGTTCCCATCTTCACACAGTCTGCAGGCCAGTGGCTAGTGGATCTAGAGTTCCATATAGTATAAGCAGAGGAAATGTTGAGACTCAGTTATCGTGACCACTGTGTATGTCTGTATCAATGAATTTGGGACATACTGGTGTTTAAAAAAACCCTCATCTCTTCATTATATAAGTTATGTGATGTATTAGTCTGCTACAGCTGAAATGCTCCTTAGGACTGACCTATTTAGAAAAGAATGCCTCTCAGATAACAGTGCAGCTTCGCTAAAGTAGTAAGAAGTGTTTCTCTCTTGTGAACAGCACAATCTGTTCAAACAGTGCACATTTGAGAGATCAGATGCCCTGAGATACTGTTTACCCAAGATGCTGTAGCAAGTTTAGTCTTTGCAACTGTATGATAAAAGTACTTGAATGAGGAGGGAAAGTGTCTTAACTGTAAGCTTCATTGGACCAAAATTATGATCGCTATTAGTTGGTATTGAGCTTAAACCAAAACAGTTTAAATTTCTGAAGTTCAGCAGGCTAGACTGTAGAGACTGCACCTAAATACAGAAGTACTAGAAGTGCAGTTACCCCTCTCTTTTATGGGGGATATTCAAAGCATTAAAATTGTGTATGGTGAAAAGATCTGCTCTTCTTGAGAATTTATGTACGTATATAGATATGAATCATTAACATAAGCATGTTACTGGGAACACTGGAGCATCTTAATGTTGCTCAGAACGGCAGTGAGTTCTTTTCACTTATAACCAGAAATGCAGTTTTAAAATAACTCAATTCTCTTATCTGTAGAGAGACAATTTAGTTATACCTTTGCTGAAGTCTTGGCACTATCTTCTGTTTCGTAGTAGTTCTCACTTGCATGACCTTTGCAGATGCGAGGTTCCATAGTTGTTTATCAGTGTCCTTCCAGGTTATCACCACTGATGAAAACGACTGGCTTCGATTTCAATACTAACATCACGCTTTCTGACTGCCATCCTTGCTTTCTTCAGAAATCTTTTCAGAAATACCAATTAACATTGGTGCTTTTGTTTCTCCATGCACAGGCCTTGCAGCGAGCCAGTCAAATCATTGCAGAGATTCGGGAGACACATCTTTGGTGAAGACGGTACCAGCCACACTATTTATATGCGTTGGAGGTTACGCTGACTTCAGAATTGCTAGGCATGGTATACGGAGTAGAATTTTTATTTATGAACTCTTATCTGTGTACTGCAACTGTGTAAATCTGCTCATGTAAAGACAGTTGGTTTGATTTGCAAACAGAAAAATATGCTGTATTTTGCAAAATGTCGTATTTAATCCACATAATAAATGGCTCTAAATGTTTCCTTACCAGCTTTCTGGTGCAAATTAAAGCAGACCAAGTCTACTGTCTCAGTGACAGGCTCATTTGAACTTGGGGAAAAACACTGAAGTTCCAGTGCCTGACTTGCTAAACAGGTTGCCTGTGGTTAAGATGGACAGTGTAGTCTTGTGGCATAGTTTTAAGCTGCTTTTACAATAGAAGTTTAAATACTGTGAAGAGAAGAGAGCACCAAGTATTTTCTTTCATGACTATATTGCATGCACTATGACAGATGGAGGTGTCAATTTTATAGCACAGTAGAGATGTCTACCGTATTGCTACGTGTGTGTCCCCATTTCTTTCCGATTGTTAAAAACTGCAGACAAAATTCTGAACTTCATTTAATGGAGGAGTATCATGTAGGATGAATCAGCCTGGAGCTTGCAAACAAGTAACGGCCTACTGACAAGTGGGTGCCAAGTTGTTGATGTGCACTGGAGCTTGCATAAAAATGCTGGGGGTTACAATCAGGTACAAGAACACCTTCCCCTTTCTTCCCCTTGGGACCAAGCCCCTGGACCATCCAATAGTAAATTTGTTCTGGCACAACTGAAAAAAAAAAATAAAAATAAAAATAAAAATTGATTTCAAAACTGTTATGGGACAACAAGTGTTTTTTTCAAAAACAGATAAAGTTGGCCAGGGAGAAGGGGATCCCCACAACATAGTACCAAACTTTGGAAGATAGGACAGTATGAAAGAAAGCCTGTGAGATTGGAATATTTATACTAGAGATCACAGTTACTTGTAAGGAAAATTGTACTGTTAGTAGTTTTTTTTTTTTTTTTCTTTTTTTTTTTTTAAGGACAATCACATTAGGAAACCTTAAGTTGGTAGTTGAGTTACTTTCTTCTGATTGTAATTCATGCAGTCAAACACTGTTCACGCTAACCTTTAAAGGATAAGCATTTTAATTTTTATGAATAAAAAAATTATTTAAATTCCAGCCAGCACACTTGCATGTACTTTTCAAACAGATCTACTTTTCTGTATACAGTAAAAAATGTGTACTGTGGTTGCTGATATTTTATCTTTAACATGACTTGCATTTGAAAAATGAGAGACAGCTGTTAACAGCCATGGTCTTTTAGGATGTTGGGCCAGTATCGTGAGGCTTTTATTCCTCTACTCAGTTCCTCTCTCATTTCATCAATTAACAGAAACTGAATTCCTGCTGTAAGCTGCTAAAAATTAAAAATTAAAAAACTGTTAAGGTCTCAGTTTCTGACAAGATCTGTTTTAAAAATTTATTCTTTCACATAATAATTTTGAGTTTGGCACCACTATAAACACAAGGAGTTAAGTCTCACGTGCAATTCTTGTTATTTTATGTGTTATCTGAAGTAGTTCACGCAGGACATAGAAATGTAATCTGTATTTTTAAACAGCTTAAAAAGTCACAATGTTTGTTACGTATAATGAATATGAAGGAAGTAATTGTAACTTATCACTTCTTATTCAGGGATGGTAGTTCTCAGATGTAAGAAATGCAAGTGTAATGAAGTGCAAGCCACTTCTCAAGTGAATTTTAGCCAACAGTGAAAGCTTTTAAGAATTTGGTCAAAAGCATTACATTTGTAGTTGGAATTCCCCTGGCATCTCCTTCCCTTGTACTTTTGGCATCTAAGAAATGTTTTCAACAAAACAGAACTGTCCCTGAGTGAACCTATGTTTTAACTCCCAAATGTCAATCAGCAGTCTGTTGTCAAGGGATATTCTGAATTACAAAGTTTTCAAGTGCTACATAAAGCAGATGAGTTCTATTTATTTAAGAATGTCTTGCAAGTGATAACTGGCTCTGTAATGTCATGTGAAGTCTCCAAAGTGTTTATCTGTGGCTTTTTTTTTTTTTTTTGAAATGTTAATTTTTTAAATTTTTTTTGCTTTATAAACATTTTTAATTTGGTAATGTTTGAGTGCCAAGAAATGAACTTGTCAACCTCAGCGCGAATCTTGAAAAATCCATGCTGTACCAGCCCTGTTATTAAATAAACAGATACTATACAAAATGAATGATCCCAGAAATAAAGTTTTGAACTCACTTCTAGTTCAGGTGCCAGGACTGTATACCCTTACAGGTTTGGGGGATAGCTAAGAATGCTTTTACAGCCTTAAGTTTGCAGTTGCCCTCCTGCAATTCATCATCTTTATTTCTTATAACAGTTGCTGCAGTTATGTAAGTAATAGGGTTGATAGGCAACTGGTGGCCATTAATTGTTTTATGGATTGTCTGAAACAGAACTAAGTGCTATTGTTGCTGCCACCCTTAGAAGAAATACTGGGCAGCTGGTGAGAAGTCTCACTAGGTTAGATGATGCATCTCTTACAGTCAACCTCACTTAATTTAAACCTGAAATATTTCTGTCATCAACTATCAACTTTCAGTTTAATTAAAAAAACAAACCAACCAACTTCTATCCTGTGAAGCAATCACAGAGAGAACAACTTCTGTAGCCAAGTTTAGACTAGTAAATGTTTGACATTTAATACCTGACCTGTGTGTGGTAGTACTGTAAATAAAACACAGTATCTGTGTGAAAAGTTTGTCAATAAATTTTGTGAGTCTTTTAGTAGTCAGTTTCAAACTTCACTTGGTGGGTAAGGGGAGTGTCTGTCTGCTTCAAACTGTATTCTGAAGTAAAATGCATCAAAACTGAAGTGAAACTCATTTTTAACCTCTGTGGTATGGAGGACTAAATGTGAGAGATGCTAAATTGGACACCCTGCAAACTCAGGTCCCTGCTTTATGGAACTGCAGCAGGGGAAAAAACTTATCAGTCTGCTGTTTCTGTTTCAAAATTGCATAATTTTGTGTATTTTTTTTCCCTTCAATTAAATCCTTCAGTTATGCAAGCAGACTAACAGTGTTTTCTGCAGATACTGAAGTTCTCAAATGCACATTTTTTTAACTTGTTGCCAGTCAAATTCTGCATTTGGAGGTGAGAGAACTGGACGAGTAGACCAACTGTGTATTATGTCCAAATAGTTACATCTTTTAAACTGCTGAAGGTGTTGTTATGTTCAAATAGCTTCTTTTTAATTCACTGCAGGCCCTCTCACCTCCTACCACCTTTACAAATAGAAGTGCTACTTGAAAGCAGCCACCACTTACTGCTGGCTGCCACAATATTGGAGTCCTTTGGTTTGTGCTGTCTCCTGCTGCTAAGCAGATGGTTGTTTTTTTTTTTCTTTTCATGTTGTTGTTCTTTTTAAATCTCTGACCCAAAAATACTGCTTTTCTTCCTATACTTGCAAATCACACATTTGCACACAGTAAATACTTCATAGTCTATTTCCACTTGTTCATCTCTGAACGAGCTCTGTCTCTGAATGATCACCTGAACATACCTGATTTGAGTATATTTTGGTATCTGAGGAATAAAAACAGCCCAAGAATGAATACTGGGTTTTTAAGTCGTCTTTGATTCTTGGCCTAACTGTTGTAACACTTAGGTGTACAGGGTGTGTGTGAAATGTAGTGATTGCATCCAGCCACCTCTTAGAAAGAATCAGGGAAGGGTTTGGATTACTAGGAGCTGGTTAGAAAGAAGCACAGAATAAAGCTGTTGGAGTTGGTGGATCTTATTATAAATCTTGTATACAGAGAATTTTTTCAATTTTGTATTTGTAAAAACAAATAAAATCCTTTTAATACTTGATGAAAGTGGGTGCTAATGCTTTAAAAAATAAATTGAAATTTGAGGATATATGAGGATCTGTGGATACAGAGGGGAAAAAGGCAGGAGGAGATGATTAGGTATAAAAAATGACTTAATCTACTCTGAGGAGTTTTATCTGCAAGCAGAAAGTAGCTGTTAACTCCTATTTATTTGGAGCTTAATATGGGTTTGCACTGGTGTATTTTGTTCTCAGGTGCAGGTTTTGGTATTGCTGCAATGCTTCTACCAAGTAAGGAACAAGAAAAATACAAAAGCAAACAAAGTAGATCTTCGAGGAAAGCAAGAACTGCTTAGTTTCTCTTGCTGCTCTTCTATCATTTTCCCATCAGAAGTGTGTTTGGTTTTTTTGATTTGTATGTTTAGGATAGCTCTGACCATCATTGCAGCACAAGGCAAAACTGCAAGAAACGCAAATTGGTCTTGAAAACTGACAGGAGATGTATAGGTTGTTTTTTTTTCTTTTCAAGGTAGGAATAACTTCCTTTTTTGTCTTCATATAGCTATAGAATATACACGATATTGGTGCATACTGTTGTATATTCCAGATAGTAAAATAACATATGGAATGTGGATATCTCAATAAGTAATTGGGATCTTAGACTGAAAATAACTCCATGTAGTGAAGCACCACCATGTTACAGCTTAATCTGAAAAATAAGCCCTGGTGTATAAGCAGTAAGTCACCATAACTTGTTATTACTGAAATCTTGGTTGACAATGCAGATAAAACCACCACCAAGTTGATTAAGCAAAAACAAAAACCACCACTCCCCTCCTCTCCTGCCCTGAAAGATAGAGAATATATCTAGAGGGGTCCTAGAGAAGTGTTAGAATTTCTTGTAGTTATTTCCCAATTCTTATGTATCAGATGGTTTTGAAGCAGCTGAAATACCATGACTTATTCCAACAGTGTAAGAGATGATGATTAAATACCACTATCTAGACAGTTGAGTTTAGGGTCGGTCTCCTTGCAGCTGCTATGACTGTGAAACTGTAAGATGCTACAGTTTGACAGACTAGGAAAGCATTTCCCCCCAGCAAGGATTAACTGAATCTTTGCAAACTACACTGCAGTCAGTGCCCAAAGCAATCACTTTATAAATCCAAGAGGATTTCACATTTGTTTACACTGGGGAAGGAAGGAAGGGTCCCTTCAGAAATGAACAAAAAAACAACACCAGAGTTTGAGCCAGTCTGCTAAACTACTGTAATTTGCAGTCAGTTATCCAGTTCTATGTTATTTTAGTATCAACTTTTACTGCTAATATTTTTGGTAACCATGTGTAGCTTTGTGTTGTTTACGTTGCAGGACTGCGAATAATGTGGGACCAATGTTCCATAAGCAACACCAATGCAGGAAGGGAAAAGTCTGAGGACAGCAAGGCTCTGTACAGATTTTAGGTGTGTAAGCAGTATCAGTGTCCAGCAGTGAAGGTGTTTTTTTCAGAACAATGAATAAAACACCACTGCCTTTAAATGTAATGTTCCATCTACTCCCTGAAGTATGTCCTCACCTTTGTGCTGGCCTTACAAGGGAATTGGGAAGCTGTGCTCCCAAATGTTAGCAAGGCCATAAGCACTATAACGATTTTTGTGTTCTGTAATGAAAAGGTGCTGCTTTTGCATGTTGCCCTGTCTGACGGGCTGGATTTTAATTGCAAAAACACTTCTCTCCCCTCCCATTTCAAGAAGTGAATCAGTTCTGTATTACCACAATAAAGCTGCAAAGCTCATATGCATTATGCTCCCATACAAAACCAATAATAAGCTTACTTATCAGGACTTAACTGTTTCACTTATTTATTGTGAATCTTCTGCAGCTTTAAACCAAACCTGTTAAGAAAAAAAAATACAAAAAACTGTTGATAGTAGGTTGTTTGTCCTTACCCACTTATCCTGATTTTCTATGTTAGGATGAAGTCAAAAGTCAATAGCAGCATTCATCTTGTTAGGAAAGGTTTCAAGTATCCCTTTGCACATCTTGCTGTGAATTGTTCTGTAGCATATCTGGTGACCATTGCCCCTCCCACCTACAATACAGTAGTTGGAAGAGAGTTTCCATCTTGGTTCCTTGAAATGGATCTTTTCATCTTCTCATGCATATTCTTTTGTGAATGGTGCTTGAAATCTCTCTTCATCGGTGTAACTTCTAAGAGCTGCATGTGACAGTTTTCCAGTTCTGTACTTCAGTGGTACCTGTTTCCAAAGCAATTTCAAACACTCCTTTTTGGTATTTTAGATCTGTATCTTATACTTTAGTGGAGAGAGCACATCACATGAATCCGTACTCTTCATGGGCAACAGCTGATACTGACAGCCACTGCATTAACTTAAAAAGAAGGAAGTTAAGAAAAAGCCCAGCTGTAACAAATTATAATGCATAACCTTAGTGGAGTTAAAAAATCCAGTGTAGGTGTGCAACTGCTATAATACAGCATGCAGCTTTTTCTGCTATGTGCAATCTGTGGCCTACGTGAAGTGTGATCATTGTGAAGGAATGAGATGGACAGCAGATGAGGAAAAAATCTGGTATGGATTTCTATCATTTTCTGGTTCAGTGATTCACTTCCAGAGCTAAAACATGAAATCATACATGTTTAGAATCTCAGCTGCCTTTATTTGAACTCTGTTGATGTATTCTGAAAACTGAAACTATGCTATTAGGCAGTTTGTGAGCTGCACAGTATAGAAATGTCTTCAATTACATTCTTCAAGCAACAGAGTTGAAGTGGTGTCTAATTTCAGGAAGATATTCTTCTTGTCACAATGTGAGCCATTTTATAATGTAGTAGTTTTTCTTTCCAATCCTAAGCAATGATACTCCATTCTTGAGAATATGCTGTCCAAGAATAAGAACAGTCTCAGGATTGGTTACACGAATCCCATTTACTGAAACTCCACCGTCTGTAATTTTCTGGTACCTTAAAAAAAAGAAACCAACAACAAAAACAATGAGTAATTGCAAGAGGAAGATACCTGTTGCTGGTAAGTACTGAATGATCAGTTAAGAGCTATTTCAGATGCTTCTTTGGTTTAATTTGCAACTGAATAAATTTTAAGTCTTGTACACATCCTCTACTCCTGAGAGGGATAAAGGGAACGTAATCTGTTGCTGTCTCTTTCTCAGCTGTATATTTTACAGCTATGGTACATGACACTGCATTATCCTACACTTTCTCTTCAAAATGCAATGAGGCCTCCCCTCTCAGCCTGGTCACATGGTTGGTGACCCTGCACATAGCAGGAGGATTGAAACTAGATGATCATTGTAGTCCTTTTCAAGCCAAGACATTCTATGATTCTATAGCATGCAGGTAACTTACACTTTACTATCTGTTTGAGTTATTCTGACCTCTTGTTAAAGTGAGCACACCACTTCCACCTGTTTAAGTGAGGTACTACTGAAGAGTGGGGCTGATAACGTACCCACTAGGTCCATGTGGAATGGCATTTGCTTTGCGACACAGGTCAAGCAGAGTCATTCCAGGTTCAAGCATCAATTCAGCCGAAGGAGCCTGTCTAAAAAGTTCCTGTAACTCCTGGTCAGACATAGCTTCCAGTGCCTCCACACTGCTGTAATAAAGGGCTTTGGTGCATCTGTGAGAACAAAAATCATTCAGAATCAGTTCTAGTCTCATCTTTGGACAAAGCACAGTTCAACTGAACAGATTTCCCTCCCCACTTTCTTCTGATGCTCCGCACAGTAACAGAAGAATTTAGGAGCTACCCTTCTAACTTTGAATTCGTGGGTTTTTTTGGACTCCATTCTCTTGCAATTTTAATATAGTTTATGTATCTCTTAAGTCTAGAGCATTGCTATATATTTCTCTTAATAGCAAAGTCTCAGCTAACTCCATTAAAACAGTCCCTGAAAAGCTACACATAACTGAACTACCATCAGATATATCTGAAAGAGAACTGCTCAACAAAATGAACTTCACCTCTTAGCAGATTCCAGCCCTTCTCTGCCATGAACGAGTTTTGTTACTTCTGCTGCAAGTCGTTTCTGAGGGCCCCATTTTTCAGGCTCTCTGGCATGCATTTCCATGATGTGGTCAATCTCCTCAAGAGGAAGAAAGGTGAAGAGTTTCAGGTATCTGTGAGCAGGGAAAAAAAATTATTTTGTCTATAAAAACACTGTCACAGATTTCCTGTCCTTGTCATTCAAACTTCATTAACCGCACTAAAATGATTCTTATTTCTTTAAGAAATCCATGTTATAGCTATTCTTTCAAACAACTCTTTGTTTTTGCCCACATACTTAAATTTAAAATGGTAACTCGTGTTTTATTTACCATTTTATTAAGGGTAATGCGTACAGAAATAAAACAGCTCCAAAAGCTTTTATGAAGCTTGTACTACAATCAGGAATTTACTTTTCTAATGAAGTGTATTTTATAGAATGTAGTGCAATTGTGTGTCTACTTGGCAGGTTCTAACTTATATCCTTAGTAGTTACACAGTATATTAATGCAAAGCCATGCAGCTATGCTGATCACCAGACAGAATTACGCTGTGCGTTGATGACTGTGTATCTTGCAGAAGATTATTTAGGATCATCAACAATTTAAAGGTGCATATCAGAAGTATACTCTTTACAACAAGGTTTATTTAAATGAGCATGCAGCTGTGTGGAATTCAGTGTATTAATGAAGGTACTTCCATGATTACAAAGTCTGAAAGCATTAAACATTTTGATGTTAAATATCCACACAGCCTTTTTTCAGTCTGAAAAGTGCTGATGATGCAGAACCTCCATATAGGAATCAAGCCAAGTTATGAGAGATGTTTGTACTACAGTTACACTATTAAACCTTAGCATGGGGTGCTGATTATTACTTGCTTTGAGAAGGCTCAAGCAATTAGCAATTTGACCAGGTATGTGAACTTTGATGGCTCTGTTTCGCCCCTCCGCCTGTTTTTACTTTCAACAATGACTTAAAATTGAATTCTGAAAACCTCTGCCTTGTAGATAAACTTATATTGTCTGCCATGGACTTAAAAAAGTGTTGTTCTCTCCTCTTTAATTGTGCTACTGTTGCAGTGTAACTGTCTACTACGTGTATCTTTACGTAGGCCAGTGGTGTCCCAAGTGGAGTGCAATCAGCCCAAAGACTATGCAAGATGATCCACTACGTAGATATAAATATGTGTGCATGTACTGGGAGTACATCCACATGCAACAGTTACAGAGAACCATCAGGATGTAGTTTCATAAACAAAGCCAGGAAGACAGATGAAGAAAAACTACTTACTTCTCAACTATGTCATCTTGTTGTCTAACAAAAAACTGATACAGCTCAAACGGAGAAGTCTTATCTCTGTTTAGCCAAACTGCATTGCCAGCAGTCTTTCCCAGTTTATCTCCAGTAGTACTGGTAATAAGAGGCACAGTAATTCCAAACACATCTGTTCCTGTCATCCTGTGAGGATTAGAGAAGATGAAAAATCACATTTTGCTCATCGTTAAGAAAACTCAGGCATCCTATAAGATACTATCCCTTAGCAGTTACACAGCTGTTAGCAAAGTAATTCAGAAGTGTTTTATGAAGAGTACTTTAGGAAAAAAAAAAAAATCTTAATTTTTTAAGTTCTTTGTGCAATGAAGTTTAAGTATGTAAAATAGCTTTGTGAGCAGCAGCTCTAGCAAGTTAACGTGACCTGTCCTTCTGTCTTCTGCTCTGAATAGTAACAGGCTGCCTGTGGGTTAGGATACCTATGCTGTTTTTTTTCCTGTTCTGAGTGTCTTGTCAAGCACACACACAAGGCCAAACTTTGCCACCTACAACCAGCAGTGCCTCCGAATTATGCAAGGCTGGCACCTAACCTGGGGATAAGCAAAGGTTCAGCAGCAGCTTTCACTGTGTTTCTGGGGGAAGCACTGCAGCCATCTCTAGGCACATACTACACCTTCACTTTGGTGTAATTACACCTTGATAGTATTTGGCAGCAGCAGATCTGTCTGCATGCTGTCATTCAAGATGTTTGAATCACGGATTCATTAAGGTTGGAAAAGACATCTAAGATTGCCTAGGTCAACACCAACCCATCCCCACCATGCCCACTGACCACGTCCCTCAGTGCCACATCCACACAGTTACTGAAACCTTCAGGGACAATGATTCCACCACCTCCCTGGGCAGCCCGTGCCACTGCAGCACCACTCTTTCTGAGAAGAAATGTTTCCCAATATCCAACCTGTACCTCCTCTGGTACAACTTGAGGCCATTGCCGTCCTATCACTGCTAGCTGGGAGAAGAGGCCGACCCCCACCACACACAGCCTCCTTTCAGGCATTCATAGAGTGATGAAGCATCCCCTCAGCTCCTCTTCTCCAGACTGAACAATCTCAGTTCCCTCAGCTGCTCCCCACAAGCCCTGAGCTCCAGACCCCTTACAGCTTCACTGCCCTTTCGTGCACACGCTCCAGGGCACCAGTCTCTTTCTTGCACTGAAGGACCCAGAACTGAACACAGCACTCGAGATGCGGTCCCACAGCGCCGGGTACAGAGGGACGATCACCTCCCCGCTCCCGCTGGCTGCGCTATTTCTGATCCAACCCGGGATGCCGCCGGCTCTACCGCCCACCCGGACGACCCGCAGGTCCCCAGGCACGGCCACCGTCCACCGCAACCCCGCCCCCACGTACTTGGTGACGAGCTCGTATCCGGACATGATGTTGCCCATCTGGTCGGCGCCGCCCAGCTGCACGCGGCAGCCGTGGTGCCGGTGGAGGTGCAAGAAGTCGTAGGCCTGCAGGGCGGGGTACAGGAACTCGGCCAGACTCATGCCCTCGGCGCTGCGCAGCCGCGCTTGGCAGGCCTGCCGGCTTAGCAACGTGCCCATGCGGAGGCGGCCGCCGGCGCCGCATAGGAAGTCGAGCAGCGGCTCGCGGCCCAGCCACCACGCGTTGTCCAGGAGCTCCGCCCGGCCCAGGGGCCGCCCTCCGCCCGCCGCCCAGAACAGCGCGCGGTGGTTCTCCAGCAGCCGCCCCAGCCCCTCGCGCAGCCCCCGCGCGTGGGCCCGCACCTTCTCGGCCTCCAGCGGCTCCCGCGCGCGTTCGCGGCCGCTGGGGTCTCCCAGCCGCGCCGTCGCGCCGCCCACCACAGCCAAGATGGTGTGTCCGGCGCGCTGGAAGTGCAGCAGCGCCATGACGGCCGGCAGGTGCCCGACGTGCAGCGAGTCCGCCGTCGGGTCGAAACCGCAGTAAACGGCGACGGGCGGGCGGCCCGGCTCCAGCAGCGCTTCCAGCTGCTCGTCCGCGCCCTGCGCCGGGAACACCTCCTGGAAGAGGCCGCGCTCGAACTGCGCCGCCAGCAGCCCCTTGGCGCCGCGGGCCCGCTGCGGCCGCTCGTGGACGTGCCGCGTTCCCGGTGGCCGGGCCCGCCGCAGGGCGCCAAATAACTCCGCCGCGCGGCAACAGCGCAGCCACGGTGTGGGCGCCGCCATCTTGTGCGACGCACGCCGCGATGCGGCGGGGCGGAGCCGGCGTGGGGAGGTGGCGCGTTACTGCACGACCCGGCCGTCCGGAGAGGCTGTGGTGAAGCACAGAATCGCGGAATGGCAGAGTTGGAAGGGGCCTCAAGGATCATGAAGCTCCAACCCCCGTGCCACATGCGGGGCCACCAGCCTCCACAGTTAATACGAGACCAGGCTGCCCAGCAGCCCGCGTGGGAGCGTTGTCTCCCACGATAGCGAAGAAAATGAGCACAGAAATAACGATGCCTTGGTTCATCCTTCATTTTTCATTCAAGTTTTCTGTGATCATTGTTTATAAGCATTATTTTTCATTTCAAAGGAACTTATATTTCTGGGAACAAGGACAAATGATACTTGTGGGCAAAAAAGACTTCATCATTTTCTGAAACTTCATGTATCATACTGATCAATGATTAGGATCCACAATCAGTCATTTTGAAATGGAGATCTGCATAAGTGTTCCCAAACATCAGTCAAAACGTAGAATCACACAGGAACTCTCACTGAAGATTTAACAGCTTATAGCAGTTAGATTGGGCTGTAAATAACTGGAGCTGCCATAAGAAAATTTTTGCTCCTGTCCATAAGTTGCCCTGGACTATGATGGATATCCAAAAGGGGAAGCAAATTGTTTGTTTTCCAAGATGGCAGAGGTTGGTTTAGACCAGTGTGTAGTTGTGTGTGCAGAAGCTAATGCAGTTGTTGTGAGGTAGGAACTCATTAAATATTTAAAGAAATTTAAACAAAGAAAGTCTTGGTGCTGCATTTATCTCTCTGACTCATCTGACATGGGAATTTCCAATGCCCAGAAAGAAGTGATGTTACATAGCATGGAAAGATATTTAGTCTCCTAAGGCACTGGGGGCAGTTGTTTGTCAGAGATCTGGGTCTGTGTGTTCTTGTGTTCGAATACATCCAGCAAACTTCTGTGGTGGTGTCTCAGAGCTTCCTGCTAGTCCCCTGTCTGTGACCTTACGTAAGCCCAGTTTCCGCTTGTAGTCATGGGCAGAGGTCTTCATGTGTACTGGAGGCAGAAGTAGCCAGCACAGAGCTGAGACTGCTGTGTGGGCTCTGATGTTATTGGAGCCATTAGAAATGCAAGGCATCAAAGCTGGGTGGCTAGCTTGGACTACATTCTTTGATACACACAGAGTGAGTTTCATGTGGTTTCCTACCTGTGGGAAATTTCTCTACATAATGACTGCTGTTGCAAATGTCTGTGTTTATGTTCTTAATTGATTGCTCCTCTTGACTGAACATGAGAGCTGTCACCTACTCCCATATTCAGGAGATCATGGTTTAATGGTGAAATGATCTCTGAAAACATATTACATTAACAAGAGTATTTGTCTTTATGGTGCTGTGAGTACATAAACAGCAAGTAGATCCATCTCCAGAGCTGGCAAGGTCATGGTACATACTCTATAAATTCACTTGTCATAGTGACTTACTCTTCTGTCTCAGCTGATGATAAAAAACAAAAGAGAAAGGAATCCACTCTAGATTCCAAGAGAAATAATTCTCTCCCAGCACACACACCTCGTTTGTAACTATGATAATTCTGCATTTTTGCAGTCCTGAGAGAAACCTGAGTAATGCTGAACTTCATCACCATACATAACCCTTGCAGTGACTGTATGAAACTGATAGACTCAAAGGAGATGGCAGAAGTCGTTTTGCTAAAGTGATATGGAAATAAATGTAGGTGATATTAGATATGGTTAAAAGCTATGTGCTGCAGTTCAAAGCTTGCTGTTCTTTTGTCCTTCTCTGAGGGTGTCTTCCTAAAGCCATCTACTTTCCCTTGGGAGAGGTTTGCACACTCTTCACTTTTTTAGGCTGGGCCTTGTGTGCCACATTTGAGCTTGATTGACTGCCAAGGAAACAATACTTCTCATAGGAGTATGCATGGGAAAATTTGCTGCTCCCACAGTAGAAGGGAAGAGGATTTGATGACAGGTAGTGCTTACAAGCTATTCTTCAGGATCAGCAGGTAGGAAGGTCCTGGGGTAACAAACCAAGGCACATAGACTGTAAATGGAGCTTCATTTCCTTGAATGATGCACAGTTTCAGATAAATGAGGAAGGACCACCCTATCTTCCTGCCTTCCAGATCAGGCTCTGCTCTCGTCCACTACCACAGGGTCAACGTTACTTATAGCAGTTCTTCCCTCTTTTTGAAGATGTGCTCTGCTGAAGGTGTGTACAGCTCCCTAGAAATCCAGGGTCTACGTGCTTGTCTGTCTTGCCATCTAAATATCCTGGCAGTGACAGCTCAAACTTACAAGATTGTGGTAAGGACTTTATTTATAGTTATAATCAAAATCTTTGTCATCTAAGGACATTATTTTCCAATAGAAAAGTAATATACTATTTCAAGTAGTCAAACAAATGTTGCAGGAAATATAAGTTTGGGTTTATACTGGCCTTAAAGCATTTCATATCTTTGAGTCTACATGAACACGACTGTATTTAATGAACAGAGTATCCTGGGACTAGTAGTGGCTTTCATGGACTCTTGCAATTCTTGCAAAGAGTTGTCTCCATGGATAATATGTGCACAGAAAGCTCTGTGGAACTAAGACTTTATTGATGTTAGATACTGTTAATGGAGTCATACTGGATAAAAGTGTAGATCATTAATGCAAATTATTTTTGATAAGTTTGATTTTGCAGAGCTTTTCAGCACAATATTATTGTACATCCTAGTTAGTTTTTAATTTATTTTAAAAGAAGCCCATCAAAATATGAAATATGAAATCAGAAAACTATTTTAGAAAGTCTTTCACGTTAGCTGTGTGTACTATACACTTCTCTCTCACTGTGGTAGTGGTGCTTTTTTTTTTTATTAGCAAGCTGGAGGATTAATAGATGATCCTTTGGTATTGATCACCAGATAACAGCAAATATGAAAAGGACAAATCCTAATAGTTTTTAGCTACAATTCTGAGTGGCTCTGAAATATGACCATGTCTGAGCAGTAGTGATGGTAATGAAATGGAGTGAGATCATGGCATGGGCGAAGTGTGAGAGCAGGGCATGAGTGCTCTGATTACATAGACAGTGGGGAGAGGGCTGTTAGAACAGGGACAGCTCACACAGACTTGAATGTGGCAAAGACACAGTGGTTGCATCAATCTGCATATGCTGTGCTGCATAGGGTTTGCTTCTGCCTGTGGGTCAAGGTTGAAAAAGATTTTGTTTTTCACGTACCTCTGAGAGGTGCTCTCTGATTGGCACATATCTGTTTTTAAAAATTTGTTTGTTTCTTTGTTTTTGTGCCATGTTGATAATATTTTGAACTGACTTTGATTTGCCAGTCCTTGAAACCGGCCCAATTAATGTGGAACATGCTTTCATGTTCAGGCTCAATCATTTAAATCATTTAGTTTTGAGCCAGGGTTTTGCAGACTATGGTGCTGACAACTGCTTTTTTGCTTACTTTTAGATTCCCCCCAGCTGTAACGCTGATTTTCTAGGGATTCTCTAGGGTGACCCTAGACCAGAGTAATCTTTGTAAACTATCTTTAAAATGCCATTATGAGAATGCTGTTATTTGTGGCTTGGTGGCTTTCAGCAATCATTTCTTTTGCACAGCCTCTGTAGAGGATGCTGAAGTGTTTTTCATGAGATTAAATTGAAGGTTTTGTCACCTTCAAAAAACGAAATTGTTTGCACTTTTCCATGTATCACATGTTTGTGTTCCCTTTGGAGATGGCAAGCCTCTTTTTTTCATTTCACCCTTGACTTCTGTTATTTGATCTGGAAATACATGTGGGCTTTCTGTTTGGTCTGGAGGCTGAGAAAGCAACAGCATAAAAAGTATTTTGGCATGGGTTAGTGTAGAAATAGCCTGTTGTTTATGTGTGTGCAAGCACATATGCGCCATGGGGACTGGGGGAATTCCTAAGGATGTCATGCAGTATGACAAAGCCATGCTATAGGCATCCTGTAAGAGGAACTTTGCAAAAATAATTACTGTACATAAAAGAGAGTGATAGTATGGTGAATCCATAATCTCTCCAGACTCCATAAGCAACTGTGAATAGACTTCCTTGTAAGAAGATAGCAGAGTCTTAGGACAAAAGTGCAAGGTCCTGCACCTGGGTTGAGGCAATCCCAAGCACAGATACAGATTGGGTGGAGAATGGCTTGAGAGCAGCCCTGAGGAGAAGGATTTGGGAGTGTCAGTTGATGAAAGATTCAGCATGAGCTGGCAATGTGCTTGCATCCTAGCAGGCCAACCGTAGCCAGAGTTGCATCAAAAGAAGTGTGACCAGTTAAAGGGAGGTGATTCTGCCCCTCTGCTCTTGTGAGACCCCACCTGGAGTACTGCATCCTTTTCTGGATCCCCAAACATAAGGACATGGAGCTGCTGGAGCAGGTCCAGAGGAGGGCCACAAAGATGATCAGAGGGTTGGAAGACCTTCCCTACAAGGACAGTCTGAGAGAGCTGGAGGTATTCAGCCTAGAGGAGGGAAGGATCTGGGGGGACCTTATAGCAGCCTTCCAGTACCTGAAGGAGCCTACAGGAAAGCTGAGGAGGGACTTTTTATAAGGACGTGTATTGATGGGACAAGGAAAAATGGCTTTAAACTGGAAGAGGGTAGATTTCGACTAGATATTAGGAAGAAATTGTTTACTATGAGACTGGTGAGACACTGGAACAGGTTGCCCAAAGAGGTTGTGGATGCCTCCTCCCTGAAAGCATTCAAGGCCAGGCTGGTTGAGGCTTTGAGCAACATTGTCTAGTGGGAGATATCCCTGCCTATAGCACGGGTTGGAACTAGGTGATCTTAAAGGTTTCTTTCAACAGAAACCATGCTAGTATTCTATGCAAAGTTATATATTTCTCCTTTTAACTACTGCATTTCCTCTTGGGTCATGCACAAACCCACAAAACAATCACAAACATAATCACACTGTAGTTATGACCCTGTCTGCTAAGTGCATACCTGTCATTCTGGCAGAGAT